AAACTTTTTTTGATTTACGGTATTTTCTTATTTTGATGTTTTGAGCTCTTTTGTGTTTAGAACAATATATATACTAATTTGTAAAGTATCAAATTGAATTTTTGTTCATTAGAATTATGTAATGGTCCTGCTACATTCCAATGATTAAGAGTGCTCTGTATGAGCTACCCTAGCATGTCATATTCATTTATTGAATGACACATGGGAAGACCTTAAATGATGCTTAAGAAGGTTCTCTAATAGTCGAGGAAAGAGAAACTTAAACAGAATCCTATGAAGTGTGACTCATTCCATCAAGTTTACTGGAACACATAGCAGAGAAGATGTGTCTACAGATCCATCAAATATTGACTCGATCTGGAATAGGCCAGCACCAAGGAACCAGAAATGAGGTAAGAAGCTTTCTTGGACTGTGCTCATACTATCATCATTTTGTAAAATCATACTTTGACCTAACTTGTCTCTACACAACTTACTCAATAAGTCAAATAATCTTTGTTGGACTGCTGATTGTGACCAATAATTCAAGAAACTGAAGAAGGAATTTACCACTACTCTCATTTTGGCATACCCAAATCTAAAACCGGAACTGCAATAAAACTTGATCTTTTATTTTGGAGAGTTCCATACAGTCATGCATGCATTTTGAACATTTGGATCATTCATTGCAAACATTGATAGTTCATGGGTTGCAGTAGGAGTGTTTGGCCCTGCTACTGCAAGTCATATTCTTGAAGGCAGGCACACCAAGAGAGCATTGGATACCCATGCCCATACAACTATTCTTGAAGTGTTCTATGACCTGTTGATGGATGTAGTTGTGAAAGAGGATCCAGCTCTTTATTACGAACTCCAATGGATCTCACAACCTTTCAGACCATTCTGTACCAACAGACACAAGGAAGGAACCAAAGAAGTGATCAATAAGTTCATTTATTCTGATTCTAGGCAAGAAAAATAGTCAATGTCTTCTCCAGATAAAATACAAAACATCCAATGTTAAAAAATTGTTTGGATGTGCATGTACATTTTTCATGACAATGATAGAATTTATATGGGAAACTTAACAGAGTTTGTGGTTTTCATATGTAATGTCACAGAAAAAATTGTGCACCTATTTGTTTGGCTGAGATAGAGTACATAGACAAGACATACGGTCTCAAGAGCACAGAAACAGACATATAGAGTGAGTTCAGGAAAGGGAACTTCTCAGTGTTACCAAGAACACCATTCAATTCTTCAACATCAGAGTAGATCAAGCACTGGAGCACACACACGACAACTAAAAATGCCCAAAGGTATCAGGAGCATTACCCCAAAACCCTGGAAATTTGCATGATATTTCTTGATTGGTTCTGAATAGCTTGCTGTCATTGGCAGGACAATAAGAAAGCATTGCCATGAGATATTTATACCAATCTTGCAGTACGAGGAGCAGAAAATCCAACAGATCAAAACTGTGCTTCGTAAAATATATCCATTCAGAGAAGGTGATGAAGTCTGTTATGCAAGAAGACATAAAACAGGACATTACAAGGAGAAATGCTGCTGAAGAAGTTAACTAAAATACTTTTATCTCACAGTTTGTTTGTTTGAATTTAAGCAAAAAGCTACACAATGGGCCATCTGTGCTCTGCCCACCACGGGTATCGAAACCTGGTTTCTAGCACTGTAAGTCTGCAGACACACCACTGTGCCAATGGGGTGCTTATCTCACAGAGAATTATTAGAGAGTTCAGCATCCGGAACAAAATGACAAACCGAAAGCTCAAGACAGGAAGCTGAACAGTCAAAACTCACAAAGGTGAAAGTTGGCAAAAACCCATTTATCTCAAAAGGAATTATCCCTTGTTTACAACAATGAGTGCAATATATAAATATAGTATACTATAACTGAAAAATATAAGGCAAAAGCAAAACTCGCAGGCGATCCGAATTTCGGACAATTTTCCAAGTTTTGGGATTAAGGTCCTGAAGCCTCAAATCGTCCGAATTTCAGAGGTCATACAGTAGTTGCCAGGAACTAAGCTGAAGCAGTTTGGTAAACCAAGGTAGTATCTTTTCAAGAAGATTCAAGCTGAGGCTAATCTTTCACCAATCAAATCTGTCCTTAATCAGGATATCTAGGATGCTCACTACTAGGCAATATTATGGCGCAATGAAGTCAAATTCATACCAGACTTACTAAACCCAAATTTATATGGTTGGGAAGAATATGATGTTTGTGTGTGTGTGTGTGAAGGGGTGATCTTTGCTAATCATTACGTAGATGAAACCAGCGATAAATGTGATAATAGAGATTGTAAACTGTGACTGCGGGAAAGTAAAATGTAGACCTGGAGAGTGTCCACGCAGAAGAGCAGGAATGGCCTACAAGAGAAGGGTGTTTGTAGGGCAAACACAAAAGTGTGAAAATATTAATGCACTGTAATGCATGATTGGCAGAATGACTGAATGTATATATTACACTTCAGTATGAACATCAGGAAGTCTTATAGTTCACGTTAACAGGTTTTACAGAAACAGTTAACAGGATCAGAAACAGTAAGAGCAATGAGAGTTATGCAGGTTGATATACTGATCAATTTCACTAGTTTAGCGTCGAAACTATATCTTATATAACTATTATTGAATACAGTATATTTTGCAAGTTCCAAAAATGAAATATTAAAAGCTCGTTTTTTACAACAACTATTCAGTTGTAGATGGAGCAGCTGTTATTATTATATGTTGTTTGGCATTTGGTACATCCTCATATTTGATTGGGTAACCTTAAGGAATATCAGGTTTAATAAAGTACGTATAAAAGTGCATACAAGATATTATCGTTATTACATTTTAATGTCACTGGGTTTGGTATTTATTAAATAAAACAAGAACTTTTCTTCTATAAACGGGCAAGTTTGCGTAACCAGTATAGTCCAATGTCAATCGGTCTCGTGATTCGGGAGCTCCAATCAGAATCTGCAAGTCGCGAGTTCGAATCCCATCATCTAATATACTCACCCTTTTAGCCGTAAGGGCGTTATAATGTGATGGTCAATCCTACTATTCGATTAGAGTTGGCAATGGATAGTTTTAACTGTCTCTCCAGAATATCACTTCTAAATTAGTGACGACTACAGCAGGTAGCCCTCGAGTAGCGTTGCGTGAAATTCAACAAACAAACAATACAGTGTCAGTCAAGTGCAAAATCTTTACTAAAGATGTATGTAAAATTAAACGTTTTTGTTTAAAATTCTATAGGGGTATATTGAGTGTCTCTCTCTATATAAAGATGATTCTGTAACCTTTTATTTTAGTAAGGAAACAATATAAAACAAAATACGTTTTTGATTTTACGACCGTACCTTTATTTTTCATTTACATTTTGGTGAAAAAATACTCATATATATATATAAAAAAAAAAACTAGTAAAATTCAAACCTTTTTTTTGTTCAACATACGTTCAAAACCAAGAACATGGACCCATGTGCCATTTTTTTTTTTAAATTGACGACCTAAAATTACCTCTAAATGACCTTGAAGATCAAAAATACCTCTAAATGACCTTGAAAATCAAAATCACCTCCAGATGATCTTGAAGATTAAAATTACCTCTAAATGACCTTGAAGATCAAAAGAAAAATTGGAATTTTTTTTTCTCACAACATTAAGAGTACCATATTAAAGCAAGGTACATCAATAAACATGATAAAATCGATATCCAACATAGAAATCTACAAATAAAAAAAAATCAGCAAACACTTGTTCTTAAATGATTTGTTTTAAATTATATTTCGAAATAACAGTTTATTTATTTGTTTAATCTATTACAAATAGCATGTATTATGATTTAGTTTTAGCTTTTACAAAATCATTGTAATTGTTGGTAATTTTATTGATTATACAAATATTTTGCTCCCCCTAATGGCTCAGCGATAATTCTGAAGGCTTGTAATGCTAAAACCCGGAGCCCATGCCTATGATGGGCACAACACAGATATGTTGTTGTTGTTATCATCATTATTAAACACAAAGCTACAAAAAAGGGCTATCTGTGCCCTGCCCACCACGGATATCGAAACCCGGTTTCTAGCACCATAAGTCCGCAGACATGCCGCTGTGCCACTGGAGGGCAGCACAGATAGTCATTATGTTATTTTGTGCTTAACAACAAATATACAAAACATACAAATATTTATATCAAAACGTACGGTATGTTTAGGAAAACTTGTTTCATAAATTGGTTTCGAAGAATCGCCAGTCTATTAATCAATTGACACTTTTTTAATAATAATAATAATAACTCAACAACATTAATCAAAACACAATAAAAGACGAACCAAATTCGTTACCAAAAACTTCATTATCTTCGTCTATCTGTTAACTTTATATGAGAAATTAAAGGCAATCAATAAAAATGTTTTCCAAATTATTGAAAACAGATATTCAACTGAAGTTTTGTTCGCTGAATTCCTGAATTTTTTATACTACACGGTATTTTATTGAACGTGAAACAACTTATTAACATTTAGGGTTAGCTTTATCAAAACATTTAGTCAGATATATACGGTACCTCAGTTAGTAATTGGAGATATTTAATGTAGCAGAATCTTTAAGACATTTTATTAGAAATGTTTACTTGAAGCCAACCTAGCCTATCTGTAACTGTGTTTCATACAATAACACCAATCTTTCCTAATAGCAAGTGACAGAGAAATTTGCGATTATGTGTTAAGAACTCTCCATCTGACGAAATTGATGAGAAAACGTTAAATTCTCAGCTCATTCTATATATATATTGCACTATAGGTGTACATTACTACTTATGTTATTATTTATATTAATTTTCGTCTTAACTTTAAAATATTTTAGATACGGTTAATCTTAAAAAAAACAAAAAAAACTGGTGACGCGAGGGGGCTTCAGTTTCACAAGGTTTGAAATACATGAAATTTGTAATATCCGATAAGGCAAAGAGTAGGCCTTCATTAAAAAGAAATCATGCAAAACATATGTATATTGTAGAAAAGTTATAAATTTTAATATCGACAAGACTATAACATAAACAAAAGCAGATCAGTAAAGATATTTCAATGGATTTACATCAAAGACATCACTGTAAATCCTACTAACATTAAGCAAGTCTGGAAGCATTATATTAACTTGTCATTGATGATTAAGTACGTTCACAATCATTAGTTGTTATTTACTAATGGAAAAAAAATACAACACACTTATCACTGGAACGATGCATGTTAAGTACATTAAATGTAATTTTTTCTTCTCACTAAACTGTGTAATTTCAGTAAACAGGGAAGGATTCGCTCAGTATTGTTTAAATAAATGGAGTATTATTAGTACAATAATGTAAGTTTAATATTGTTTAATTACGTGAATGGAGTGTTATTAGTACAATAGTGTAAGTTTAATATTGTTTAATTACGTGAATGGAGTATTATTAGTACGATAGTGTAAATTTAATATTGTTTAATTACGTGAATGGAGTATCATTAGTACAATAGTGTTAGTTTAATATTGTTCAATTACGTGAATGGAGTATTATTAGTACAATAGTGTAAGTTTAATATTGTTTAGTTACGTGAATGGAGTATTATTAGTACAATAGAGTAAGTTTAATATTGTTTAATTACGTGAATGGAGTATTATTAGTACAATAGTGTTAGTTTAATATTGTTCAATTACGTGAATGGAGTATTATTAGTACAATAGTGTAAGTTTAATATTGTTTAGTTACGTGAATGGAGTATTATTAGTACAATAGTGTAAGTTTAATATTGTTTTGTTACGTGAATTGAGTATTATTAGTACAATAGTGTAAGTTTATTATTTTTTAATTACGTGAATGGAGAAGAAATATTAATATACGTTCAGCATTTCGTAAATGTTGGAATATTGGCACAACAGTGTACGTTCAATAAAGTCAAGTTATGTGGAAAAATATTACACAACATTGTATGTTCTATAAAGTTTAAGTATATGGAGAAGTATTGATATCTCAGTGTACGTTTATATATGTGTGTGAATGAGTAAGTCTTGGTGTAAAATGTATGTTCTATAAAGTTTAAGTATATGGAGAATTATTGATATCAGTGTAAGTTTATATATGTGTGTGTAAATGAGTAAGTCTTAGTGTAAAATGTATGTTCTATAAAGTTTAAGTACATGGAGAAGTATTGATATCTCAGTGTACGTTTATATATGTGTGTGAATGAGTAAGTCTTGGTGTAAAATGTATGTTCTATAAAGTTTCAGTATATGGAGAATTATTGATATCAGTGTAAGTTTATATATGTGTGTGTAAATGAGTAAGTCTTAGTGTAAAATGTATGTTCTATAAAGTTTAAGTATATGGAGAATTATTGATATCAGTGTAAGTTTATATATGTGTGTGAATGAGTAAGTCTTAGTGTAAAATGTATGTTCTATAAAGTTTAAGTATATGGAGAAGTATTGATATCTCAGTGTAAGTTTATATATGTGTGTGTGAATGAGTAAGTCTTAGTGTAAAATGTATATTAATTAATTTCTTTTCGTTCATGCAACGTTTTTATGAGAGTACAGTTGGCTATGTAATAGAGACTTAATGATCTAACTTCTCAAAATACAAAAACAGTTTTTCATTTGTTTATTAAAAAAAAGATAAACAGTGCAAAACTTTCAGACATAAGCCTTCGTCAGATGCCAGCTCTAAACTCGTGGTCAAATTTGTTTTTATACAAATAAACGAAAAACAGTTGTATATATGTTCTGAGTGTTTAGGCCTTTAAATGTTTATTGCATTCAGCAGTGTTAAAGTAAATGGAGAAATGTAAGGCAACAAAACATTTTTATTGCCCTCGCCTCCGGAGGGGGAGGGGGGGGGGGGATCTGTCGGTGTTTCCTCGCGCGTATCTCGAAAACTAACAGACCGATGTACACGAACGTTTTACTAAATATGGCAAGTCAGTATAGGATAATTCCTCCACAAATCTGGTCCGGATCCAAATTCTGGATCACTTTGAAGCATTTTCTTTATATAATTGGGAGATGGGGCACTTTCGCGGTTTTGGGTTAATAACTCTTGTAAAGTGTGATCGGATTTGTACCAAATTTCACGGACACGTTAAGGTTGAGACTCCTGATCACACCACAAGAAATGATCCGGATCGTCGATCATTATGGATCTGAGAAGGTTTCTCTGACTTTTCGAACGTGAAATTTGACGTCATCCAATATAAACGCATACAATCTCGAAAAGGAGCGGCGGGGCGAGAGCATGGAATCTCTCTAATTGCTCTTGTTTATATTTATATTCAGAAGCTTGGAAACTGTCTCTATTTTGTTAGTATTAATAAAAACAAACAAACCTATTCAACGTTGTTTACTGTAAAGAAAGACATAGAGATAGCAAAACAAAACTGGAGTTACAAAAGCGTATTTCAGTGAGAATGTGTCTATGTAAAGTATATGTTTTGTGGAAAATGGTAATAATTACATATTAAACAAATACCACTGTCATCATAATGTAAAAAAAAGTTAGTGTTTTAGTGTTGTTAGAATGAAATTTTTAGCGTTTTAAACGGAACCCTAGAAAATTACAAAACTTCAATATTATTATATTTTATTACGTACTACAAATGAAATAATTAATTTCTTAATGGAAAAAGGTTCCTGAAAAATATTGTATATTTTTTAACGTTTCTAATCACCACTACAAATTTCAGCCACTTTATTTCTTGTTGTTGTTGTTTTTTTTAATAAAAAAATGTTTATAGTTGTTAATAATTTCCACATTGTTCTTTACGGCTGAGCACATTCCCCTCCTTTAAAGAAAGGCTTCACTTGGTTAGGATAAAGAATTGGTTTTCCGATTGCACAAAACTGCTCACTGAAAAGATGATAAAATTGAATAATTTGTCACTGAACCTTTCTTTATATTTTAAATACTAAATACATCACTCAAACATTATTAATATCATAACAACATACTGTTGCCTGTTCCAACATACTGTTGCCTGTTCTATATGATTAAAGGCTTTAAAGCTTTACTGACACAATAAAGACATAATATTTTTAAAAGTATCCTCAAATATTGAATGCAAGTCTAAAGAGGTTATAATATCATTGGCTAGGCCACATTTGGAGTATTGTGTTCATCATTGGGTTCCTTATTTCAGAAAGGACATTCAATTGTTGGAAAGGGTTCAGAGGAGGGCTACTAGAATGATACCTGGAATGGAAAGGTTCTCATATGAGGTCTCTCAAATTGTTTTCTCTTGAAAAATGAAGAGTTAGAGTGGATCTGATTGAGGTGTTTAAGATTGTAAAGGGAATTGATAGTGTTGATGCATCAACTTTACTTAATGGTGAGAATGGGACGATTAGGGGACGCAAGTATGAATTTTGGCAGGGAAGAAGTCTTCTTCAGCTAAGACAGCTTTATTGTTTATAATAGAATGGTTAGCCTTTGGAATGGGCTGCCTTCGAGTGTGGTGGATACATTTTATTTAAGGGAGTTTAAGGGTAAGCTTGATAAATAGTTAAATCACAAGATGCTAGCTTTGAGGTTTTTTTTTTCTTCATGCTTAGGAGAGAGGGGTTAATTTAGCGGATAGGACAGCCTATATGAAACAAAAGGTCCCTTGTTGTTCTTTATCGTTATATTTTCAACTTGCCTTGGGCTAAAAGGCGAGATCACAGATCCAAAGTCCAGGCATAGGTATCTTTCGTTTAGAATAGCAAAGAAAATGAAACACTTTGCAGCGCACGTTTCATTGGTTAAGCATCACTGACTATTATTTGTAAAGTGCCTTTACAGACGAAATTGCAGAGTATGTTCAGCAGTGAGTCTCAGACTCGAACCTTGCACCTTCCGAACGGCAGCCCGGCACGCTAATCATGTGCCCAGATGCGGTGCAAAACAACCGCTAAAACTTGCATTTACAGCGATAAATAATGCGTTTGAATACCACTGGTGCAGTTAACATTTTAAACTACTGTGTTTATAGTACAAACTAGAGGGGCACTCAGTAGATCGCATACCTCTACCACGCAGCGTTGATCATATTCGGCCCTAAAAAAAAAACAAAAAAAACGATAATCTGTCCGTATGTCCGTCGTTATCAACGGACGCGGACCGTTTTTAGCAGGGAATGAGGAATAATATTCTATATATTTCCACCAAGTTTCATTAAAATGCGATCATTTTAGACTGAGTTATGGAGCAAAAATAGTGTTAACATATACGGATTATATTTGGGATTTTCGTGACCTTGCTGTGACCTAGACCCACCAAAAACTAATCACTTCTAGGTTGGGTCATAATCCAGATGTATACCAACTTTTGCCCGAATCCATTAAGCCGTTTTTGAGAAAACTTGCTGACAAACATACAAACACACACGCACAGGGGTGAAAACATACTCCTCCGTCCACTTTCGGTGGCGGAGGTAAATATCGGTTCTTTTTCACTATGCACTATGTATGATGTGCCCACTACATGGATCAAACCACGAATTTTAGTGTTTTTAGCCCCAAGGTTACCGCTCAGGTGCCGGGGGTAATAAGTTTGTTTTGTTTTGAATTTCGCGCAAAGCTACACGAGGGCTATCTGCGCTAGCCGTCCCTAATTTAGCAGTGTAAGACTAGAGGGAAGGCAGCTAGTCATCACCACCCACCGCCAACTCTTGGGCTACTCTTTTTACCAACGAAGGGTAATAAGTTTACAATGATTAACACTTTGCTCTAACTGCGCATTGATGTGTTTTAAACCTGATATACATATATATATATATATACATACAATAATAAATACTTCATTCATTAGAAATATAATATAAACATATCGTTTTGTTTTTTTAAAGATTATACTAAACATGTTTTTCTCTCGCGAAAGTAACATGGTCGATTAAAGACAACTTTATGAAAAATATACGAAACTTTCTTAAATCGCTAGTATTTGATCGAATCCAGAGAGTTCGTTTTGTTTGTTGTTTATTTTAGAACTTGTGCGCAAAGTTACACAAGAGCTATTTGCGCATGGTTATCCTTAATTCTGAACTGTTAGACATATGGTAGCTAGTTAATAGCACCCAACGCCAACTTTTTGGACTATTCTTGTCTACCCAAGTAGTGGGAGGTTTAACCGTTACTCTTATAGCGCACTTACGACTCCAAAACAAAGTGCGGAGCGCATTTTTTGCAGCCACGGGACGCGAACCAATATTCGGGTAAGCTAACCACTAGGCTACGCTCGGTCATATTCATAAGTATTGGACATGTCCTAAAGAAATAATTATGTTATAAGTAAAATATTATTATAAATATAATAGTTATAAAACAATTTATAATATTTGTACCGCTAGTGTTAGGGTAAAATATTATTGTAAATATAATAGTCATAAAACAATTTGTAATATTTGTACCGTTAGTGTTAGGGTAAAATATTATTGTAAATATAATAGTCATAAAACAAATTGTAATATTTGTACCGTTTAACACTAGCGGAACAAATATTACAAATTGTTTTATAACTATTATATTTGCAATAATATTTTACCCTAACACTAGCGGTAACAAATATTATAAATTGTTTTATAACTATTATATTTACAATAATATTTTACCCTAACACTGGGTAAAATATTATTGTAAATATAATAGTTATAAAACAATTTATAATATTTGTTCCGCTAGTGTTAGGGTAAATTTTTGTTCCATAAACCGTCTTCATACCTACACAGACAAAACTAACTTATTTTGTTTTAATAGTTACGGACGGTTCCATTAAAAAAAGGCAAGTGACATAAATGATTGATAACGTTACCTGATTCCGTTTTCCAAGTTAGTTACTTCAAATCGTTCGACTCGAAGTGCTGGGGGTTTGGGAATGAATGGACGAGGAGGATACGGAACTCCAAACTCGTTTGGCCCGAAGAAGTTGTAATCAAAAGGTGGTGAATGTCCAGGCTGCCATTTGACGTCTGTACGAATTATACTTCCAAGGTCTTTCGAACTCACCAAACATTCCACATCTTTCTGATTTCTGAAATATATATTTTTTTAAAATTGGTACCAAATTTGGGAGATAATTCTTGACAACTGTTAAGAGTCACTCCATAAATACAAAACATGAGTAACGTAACGTTATGAAAATTTCAGTGTTCTTCCATCATCAGAAATAAATTATCCCTCGGAAACTGGTCCCCACCCCTCCCCCCGGTGGCTCAGCGGTAAGATCCAAGGCTAATACGCTAAAAATTAGGGTTCGATATCCTTGGTGGGCCTTTTGTGTAACCTTGCCCTCAAATACAAACAAACTTAGGAACTTGAGGTACTCCTAACACAATTAATACTATCTTCCAAGATAATTGGTGTTCTTCTAACAAATAATATTACCTTCCAAGATAATTGGTGTTCTAATAAAATAATACTATCTTCCAACATAATTGGTGTTCTTCTAACAAATAATATTACCTTCCAAGATAATTGGTGTTCTAATAAAATAATACTATCTTCCAACATAATTGTTCTTCTAACATAAATAATACTATCTTCCAACATAATTGGTGTTCTTCTAACAAATAATATT